AATAGTTCTTATGTTGGAGATGAAAAGGGAATAATAACAGAAATTTTCAGGACAGGAGAGCTTCATAACAGAAAATCTAGATGCAAAATCAACCAAAATGCTTTACTATTACAGAGAATAGCCCATAATTTTGTGATTTCTTCTGAAATAAAAGTTTGGAAAGATCAAGAAGACAAATTATAGGAAAGAAGGGAAAATGGTACTAAAGACTCAGCATGCCTTGCTGCTGTTGTAGAATATGACATGGCCTATCCACACCAAATGTGAACCAATGTTACACCAAGCAAAGGCAATCCAGAGGTACAAAAAACGACTAAAGCACCCAAAAACTTTCCTCTTCCCCCAACCAAACCTGAACACCCACCACCCCTCCCACACACACACACACACACACACACAGGACAAAACAAATGGTTCAGACAAAATATTAGATATACCCTTCCCTCCAACAGCTACAACATTATGTGTTCAGATAACTTGAATGAAACTTTTTTTTCGCTTAAAGCAAACATTTTCCCAAATGGAGTAGACAATAACATATCATAGCAAAAACAAAATAAAGCTTCATACAATAAGAAGAAAGAACAAAACTGAAATTACAATGTCAACTTGAATGCGAACATCTCTTTCTTTTCCTTGAAGGGGAGTATTTTGGTAAGTCATAATTTATTTAAAACCAAAAGACCAATCTAAACACAAAATTAGCATGCAAGAGATCAGCAAAAAGTAACAAATTCTCATATTTCTTTGGCAAAATTGCAACTCATCATATAAAAACAACTGAACCCCACAACTTTTTAGCTGTGAATATACTACAATGCTGCAGCATACGAACTAGAGTAGAAAACTTTGACAACAGGCATCCCCTACAAACAACATAGCCACCATAAAGCTGCCTTCCTTTGGTATCAGAACAGAAAAGAGAACCCATAACCAAAAAATAAGAGAACAAGTATGCTACCATATTATATACCTTCTCTTCTCCAGCAAGGGTAAAATCACCATCTTCCTGCATATTGTGAAACAAAACCAAATAAAAACAAAAGCATTTATAAAAAGGAAACATAGAAGAAAAAATGAAACAAAAAAAGTGAACTAATAATTAAGCTTAGATTGAATTTTTTTACTGCTGTCTAACCTGCTCATCGCTGAAATCATATGGAACATCTTCTTTGGCTAGCTCCCCAGAGCTTTCTGACAGATTTCTAGGGGGAGATGCCTCAATGTCTAATGACAAGCCACCGTTGCTTTCATTCTATAATAATAAGCAAATATACATTATATTGAGCCGTGAAGCAGCTTGGCAATTTGACAACAACAACAGCAAACACATACAACTTACAGAACGACGATCAAGCGAGTTGGCTGTGTCAATTTTACTGGAAGCAGAAACACAGGTTCCATTGCCTGTGAAAAATTAAAAATTGCACATTTTCAGGCACATCCTTACATACATATGGCACAAGTAACAAAACTTATAAACAACTTCTCATCCTTACTGTTATTGTCTTTCACTGATATTGTCTCAATTGCATCCTCCCTCTTTTCTGGACTACTTTCTCTGCTAACTGTGAAAATTTACATTAATCAACATACTACATTTTTTCTCCAAAGAAGATCAAGTGTAAAAAGAAGGGTGCAAAGTTACATAAATGGCTGCACACAATCACATACTTCAGCCACTAATTTATCACATCAACCTTTATCACATAAGAAAAAAAAAAACAAAGAATAAAACAATCAATCCCTCCCCCAAATATAAAGAAGGCAAGGTAGAGAAAGAAGAAAAATAATAGCGTAAAACAGTAATGATTCACCTCTTTCCACATCATAACGTTTAAGGAGCTCCTCAAGTGGAAGTTCAATTTCACTGTGCAAAGCTGCCAATTCTTCTTGTCTTTCTTCTGCAGTTATAAGAGCCTCATCTTCCTCCATTGTTTGCTCATCATCTTCCTAAAACAAAATCATCATGGAAAGAATATTGTCAGACCACACAGCACGACGATTTAAAAGCAAAAAAATAAACAAAATATCTACAAAAATTTCATAGAAAATTTCATGTTTACAGGACTAACACCAAGTCATTTCTTTTAGTCCAACAGACCCACAATTTTCTTTCCTTTTCCGTGTTCACTATTTATCAAAAGGAAAAATTTAATCTGTAAAAAATAAACTTCAGCATGTGCCTGACATGATTTGTCACTCAATAGCAATCATAATCCTTTGTCAACAATTACCAAATGACACAACATAATAGGATGTATCATAAAGAGTTTTTTTTATAGCAAAAAACCAAGGAGAAAGGCATACATTTCACACTAATTATAAAAATGAAGTTAAAAAGGAAATTCTTTAATAAAAACAAAAGTACTCACTGATTCTTCTTCAGAGTGCACATCAAAATCTTCATCAGCATCTGCAATAATACCAAGAGAGGTTTCATGAGGCAAGTGTTTAGAGTATTATAGTTAAGAAGGCAATTATTATTAAATGACAAAACTAAGACATTCTGGTTACCAGCATTCAATTCCAGAGGTTCACCAACATCATTCATATCTGCTCTACCAGGAGAATTTAGTTGATGCTGAGCAGGATACTGTTGCACAGGCCTCTGTGGGTCCACTAAATTTTCTGCCAACATTGTTGAGTACCTAAAATATCCACAATGAATATCACTCCACTTTTCTTTAATGAAGGTAATGAGATTTAGGTCAAAAAGCAACCTCTCAGTTTGCCCTAAAAGAAATTCAAGCTGTTTATCAAGTGCCTTTTTCTTTTTCTCATCAAGCTCCATTTGATGCTTGTAAAGCACCTGGAATTACAAAGTAAAATGGAGAAATAAGATTCTTGATGTTAAGAAATTGGAAGGACTCAAGGAAGATCAAAGTATTATGACTTGCCAGTTTCTCTATCTTCATCCAGAATTTCTTCACGTCCTTAGAAATATTAAGTGCAACTTTTCGCAATCGCTGTTCCTCTTCCTGATTACAATTGCATGCTCGATTTAACAAATTAACAGGGTAAAACAAGATGAACTCAATTATATCGAGACGGCTTGTGCTCATTTTTTAATACAAACAAAACTCAATCCTTGGTACGTGATATGTTAAAGAACTACTATATTTAAGTTTAGTAAGAGAGGAAAAGAAAAAAGAAACCTTCAACTTCTTTTCTCCCCTGGTGGCCTGGTCCAACATGCCCTTGCTGGCTCTTAATGCAACCTTCTTCGCCTGAGCCAATTTCCATTTCCTCTCAGACTCAAAGTCCTGTCAAAATCCAATTCAGTTAGCAAGAGAGGACAGCATGGCGACTCTTTTATATCCCACTGCAAGGAGATGCATGCAACCAAATAACGTGAGGACATGTGGACATGAATTGTGAATGACAAAGCTAATATAAGTAACATTTTAGATTTATGCATTGAAAATGGCAAGGTTCAGAGGGATAAGTTAGTCAATTACCTTTGACAACCAGACCATTTCCTCTAAAACATGATCCCAATGAGTTTTAGGACGCTGGGGCTCTCTAGGTGCTTCAAGAGCCTAAAACAAAATTAAGTAAAATGTTAACAATCAACCAGTACTAGAATACACAACATCTACACAATCTGACAGGATAATTACCAGCTTCAAGCATAAATCTGGAGGATCCTCCCACAGACATAATACAAAATCAGGACAATCATTCAGTATCTTAATTAATCAATTCCATGAATGTCCACATGCATAATTGCTAATTACCAGCTTGAAGCATAAATCTGGAGGATCCTCCCACAGACATAATACAAAATCAGGACAATCATTCAGTATGTTAATTAATCAATTCCATGAATGTCCATATGCATAATTTATCAAATAAAAAAACATCTTTAGTGGAGTATGGACTCATATATGCAATGATCATATTATTCAAAATCACCAAAAGTTTTTCCTTGAAAAGGAGGAAGAGAGTGCACCAAACAATTTAAAGTTAAAGGAAAGACATTGTTTGCCATGTCTAGTACAGGCATAGTAATTCACCAGTTTAAAACAACAGTTTGCTCCCAAGGGAAAGGATGAAGAGGGATAAAAGCAGTCCAAGCAGTGACTGGAAGAAAGAAAAGAAATAGAAGAGCATAACCTTCACTGGAGAGTTTTGGGGACACAAATAGAGGTAGCTAACTCAACTAGCTTTGGATTAAGGGAATTAACAGGTTACGGTTAATGTAGGTTTATTACAAAATTTGATTGCTTAAGCGTAAGCTTCTTTATCAATCTTGGGCCTTTAATAACACAAGGCATTGAAAATCAAGTGTTGGGTAATAATGAAACAAACCACAGATCAGCAACCTCTTATGACCTTAGTCCCAGTAACATGTAAGCCAAATAATTAACTAACACAACTTGATGTTTTTCAATGTTTTTTACAATTGTAAAAGTGAATTTTAAGATTTTAGATGTGTGCATTTTCATATTAAGTCGTTATGTACAATGAATTGGGCACATGCATTACTAGCAAAGAAGCATATGACCAAGCACAAACAAAACAATCAAATCTGCCTCAATGTGCACTGAGTTCCTTCAAAAAATTAGGACAGATAATTTCAACCACAACATTTCTACATGCTTTGCTAAAAATCCAACCTAACTATCAGACTTATAAACATAAATTTATAAACAATTATTAACAGTTACATGAGATAGTGTTCTCAGTACCCATTCCTGGTTTAGTTCCTATACTGCCTATGGTTCATGGAAAATCACTTCTGTTGTTTCACATGGTAAAAAAAACTTAAAATTTTTAAATTCTTGTTAAAGTTAAGAAGTGGACATAAAATTGGATTTTTGTTAAAATAAACAACAATTACTATTTTTTCCTTTTTTCTGAACTGAAAAGCATGAGAATGAAACATTCTAAAAAAGTAATTCAAGACCAAAATAACATCTTAGATCAGAAATAATCAACCTTATAAATACACCAAAGAAAGAGCCAGCAATCTAACCAGTACTTACAAATTTTTCCAAGAAACAAAGTGAAAAAGTGATGTTCAAATCTAGTTAAAGGGAAACCAAGATCAAGAGCATTAAGATCTGCCTATAGAAATTTTTTCATATTTCCTTTAAAGAAACAGCAGGAAAATTCTTGTCATCCATTCAGTTCAATGTTTGAGTTGAACAATGATGAAAATTCAGCAAGAACAGCCTTTGTTAAGGGTCTTTCCCTCCTCTTGGCAAGGCAGAGCAAATTCTAATGGAAAATAACTTCCCAAGTTAAAGCCCAAAAGTTGTTTTCCTGGATTTCCTTTCTATATTTCTATTGAACAGAAAATAGCATCCTTTTGTTTGTTTTCTTTCAGCATTCCAAACACCAGAAAACACAGAAACTAACTTCCTGAAAGTTATTTCAAGAACCAAAAGTTATCTAATTGGAAACACACCCAAAAGCTTTAAGCAACTTCTGAGGCACAGCTCATTTAAACGCCAACCTCCAGCTCTATCAAGGTCTGAATCTTGTTTGATTACTAAAATTGAATAAAAAAGAGTTGAACATCTAACAAGAATAATGTTAAAATTTCTTTTTTACTTCTACTTTCTTTGACCAATCAGAAAAAATATTTTCCATTATGAATGAATGGGGGCTTTCCCATTAGGATAAATATCATAACAATCAGATGGATAAAAGGTATCTAATTTAAGACTTGTACATACTACATAAAATTATTTTATTTCTAGATGCCACAAGATAATTACAAGAATTCTAAGATAAACACATATCTAATTAGTTATCAATTATTGATGCTTTGATATAAAATTTTGTCAATTAAAACAAAAGTCTATCTTTTCAATACAGTTACAGCCACAAAAATAGCAAAGAACTAATTGCTTGCAGCCAAAATTGATTTAGAAACTGAGATGCAACAAAAAGTTCATAACAGTCAAGCACATACTCAACATAAATTCCCTCTAAGCAGCAAGCCTCCACAAAGATTTCATCTTTAAGCTTTTTTACAGTAAAAAGTTTCTACCGGCATGTATGTGCATCCACAAGTGCACAACACACAATGACATCAATAACAACAATAACAAGAGAAGAGAACAGAAAAGAGAGCTATAAAAACCTAAGAAACTATTACCTTTTGACGCCTAGCTCTTGTCTCATGCTCAAGCTTAGACCTTGGTCCCTTAGAAGCCATTATGTACTCGTACTACCTATATCATGATTTGCGTAAAGAAGAACAGCAGGAAAAGTGGAGCCAAAGTATCACTGTAAGAATCAGTCAAGTACCAAAAATTAATGGTCAATTTCAATAGAATGCATAGATAATAGTTCATAAAAATGTAAGATGGTATTTTTCACACAAAATGATGTTAACTATATTGATTCAAATAGCCATGAACCTCCATGACAACCTAGTTAATTTACATATGTTATTCAGTTGCTGACAATAAGCAAGCATTTTTCACTTCCTTTGCACCATACTACATCTTGAGTCACATAATTTGGTGTTTCTACTAATTGAACAGACTTTCTAACAGGTTCTAGTTAATCAAATATCAATGTCTAGATTGTATACAAATCATCATCTTAATTCACAGTCCAAAAATATCTTCGTTTTCATTTTGATTTTAAGAGAAAGATTGATAGCCAAGCTTTCTAGACATACAAGGAGAGTTTCCAAGATACTCACATGCAAGACTGCCAATGATGGACTTGCATAGCCCTCTCTCTCTATCTCTCTAATAGCTAACATGGAACAGAAAGGATATTAACTTGGAACCCCCTTTGTGACGAGACACAACTACCTACACTCAGATACAACACAAAGATTCCAAAAAGGTCCTACCAATCCCTATTTTAGTATAAGAATAACAGAATCATAGATTACTGAAAATCAAAGATTCCAATTTCATGATGTTTGTTTATTATTTGCTATTTGTGGCAATGCCCTAAAGTTATTATTTTCTACACATTCTAGCAAACTTCTTCAATTGAACAAAACATCCACCACAACTATGAGACATAACCCAAAAACACTCATTAGCATACCAAAAAATACACTAAAATTACACAGCTTTAGAAGAATTAAATTTAGATAATCCAGAATGAAGGAACTCTCATCATGCTAAGATTTTCCCCCTGCTCAAGACATTAAACAAGTTATTTTGGGATCTAGTTTGGTTTTTTTTCTGATTTCCACTTCACCGCTGGCAAAAAAGATGATTTTTTTTGTTTTTCTATTCATAACTGAAGGATAATGGAAAAGACTCAAACAGAATTATTATGCTGCTTAATTATGGGTAACAGACAGCTCCAGTTTAGCTCCAAAAGTAAGGTTGAATGCATGATAGTATCACAAATCTGAAACCTTTTCTCTTTTTATTTCTTTTTTGCATAAAAGATGATTAACAGTAGACATTATGTGCAATAAATCAAGCTTCATTCCTTGTTAGCAGTTATCAAGGACAATCAATTACTCTTAGCAATATACTTACAATTGAAAAAAAAATAGGGTTAAGACCAAAGTAACTAGTAACAGTATCTACAAACTGTTGAAATTGAAACTTGACAACGTAATTCTTGACAAGAAGTAAACATAATCAACTTGTTCATCTATAAGAAGCCTAATGTCAGTAGAAATGATTCTTTTAACCAACCAAAATTATAAAGGAACAACAAAGAATATCAAGTATTTAATGATCGATCAGGTGACGATAAATACCAGATATGACATTGTTTATCCAAATTTGCTATATCTAAGCAGCCATTTTTCAGCCTAGCAAACAGTAACTCCATCAACTAACATGCGTTATAAGACCTTTGTGCAGAAATATTTGAAACAACTAAAAAACATCATTTAGACAGCAGTCTTCTTATATGCAAGTCATCCATCTTGAGGTCACCTACTCTACACATTAGTTCATTCTTGGGAAACTCCATTTTTGTTAACTAAACCCCCCACAAGAATTCCAAAGTTATTCTCCTCGCGAAAATTATCACAAAAACAGCTAATTAGAAGTGATTGAGCAACATGCAAGCTAGTTATAACCCTGGTCTCTACAGCAACTGATTATTATTAAAAGTGATATTCAAACATGACCACACAACGAATTCTCACGAGCACCCTTATATGCCAAACCACAACAAACCGAATTCATCAGCCTTCATTCACAAGATTTATCAATGAAAAAAAGCAGCCCAAATAATAAATAATTACAAACTCCCACTTTAACGGAGGACTCAATTTAAGTAAAAAAATTCATAGTAATTCAAGATAGCTGTAAGCTGTAAACCAAGGCAGAAAAAAATCAGCTCATTCTGTTTTTACGAGAGGTAAGGTAAAGCAAACCAGAAAAAAAAATAAAAATGATGAAAGCAGCTCCACCCACGAATTCAGGGAACCATTTTACCTCGGTTTCGAGAAGAAACTAGAAGAAACGAAGTCAAGCAAACCAAACTGTGAAAAACTCAGATGGGTTTGAGTTTCTAGCGAGAGGTAACCTAAAGCTAGACGCACCACTTGCATTTTCAGCCCATAAACTCGCTATGAGATTCGCTTTTGTTTTTATTAAAGAAACGAAAAAGAAAAACACGCATATATAAATATAAAATATTTTTAAAAAACCGTACATGCAAACATAGAAGGGAGACCCCGACCCCCCCTTGGAGAGCAGGTTCCGGTGGTCGCAGCCGCTGGTGGTGGTCGTGGCGGTGACGGTGATGGCGAGATATGGAGAGAGAAAGAGATCGGGGAGGGGATCTTGAGTAGGGTTATGTTATCAGATTTCTGTAGTGTGCATCGGTGACCATTGTTATTTGTTGCTCCCACCCATCGTAGCTCTCCACCTGTCCCCGAACTTCTCTTAGACTCCAAACGGATTCTAATTTATTAGGAATACTTTTTTTTTTTAATTCAATTTTACTATTTTCCCCTGCGGACTCCTTTCTCCTTTTGTTTTTTTAACTATATCCAAAACAAAAACAGTACAAACCAACGTATTTCAGGAAACCATTTTTTAATTATTTTGGGAAAACAAACCTTATAGTTTGAGTAGAATTCACTTAAAACCCCATATGGTTTCCAACTTTTCGTTTCACTCCCTGTAGTGTAGTGTTGGTTTTGAACAAAGAACTCCATTAGATTGAAGTACTCAAGTTTATTCGAACCGAAACCAAACCGTATTCACTCAAAGTGAATAGGGTTGCTGCATCCATCCACCAAGAAGTGGGCTCATCCACCATTGCCTCAATGATAACCAACGCCAGATATGGAGCTTCAATGGAGAAGAAAGCTCTGACCAAAATGGTTCTGGGGAGTGGGGATAGATGCATGAAACTGATTCCCTAACCCTACAAACACTCCATCAATACAAATTCATGATTGAATTCCTGAATTTTGCTTTCACCCTTTGAAAATATCCACGTGCCATACAACGAAACGTAACTCAAGTGGTAAATGATTTTGCTCATCTCCCAGGTATCAAAGCATATAATGGCCAATTATACATACATACACGCACGTAGGGGATTTGGTGCCAAGATGAAAAAAGGGTTACAACAATTTATTTATTCTTGCAGAGGCCACTGCCCACTGCAGCCTATCATCTGCAAGTAGTTCCATTACAATCCACTTGAAAAGCCTTAAGCTTGCTACAAATCTATTTTTTACGTAAAATGATAACCGTAGAAATTACATGTGAATACATTGGCATGACTCTGCTGCCACATGGAACAAGTCAAGTTGAAAGGTTGGACCTAGCGAGAATAACTATATACAGCTCACATGGCAACAACATAAACATAGAGTGAACTCTTTTACCCTCTTCTCCCAACATCAGTTTCTCAATGCTGCTGCACTCTATCATGGCAAATTTGATTTAAGAGATGGAAAGAGCAATGGAAAAAACATTTTTCTCCCTTTGGCAATGCTCTAAAGGCCCACGCCATGGCAACCAGACATCAAGAGCCAAAGCTGATGTCTGTCCATCCAGGCAGATCAATCTGGTCTAGTAACGAAATTTATCGACGCTGCTGGCACATTTGGCAAATGGCGGCTGACTTGACATTTGCATAGGTGCAATATTCACAGGACCAATGGCCTGAATCGTCAATATTTCTGCTAGAGCCGCTGGATCTGGAGGTTGAACCTTTTGCCTTCCCACTTCTTCCCCTACTGCTACCACCTCCCAAGCTCTTTGAGCTCCCCATCCTGCTGCTGGCACCATGGGAGTCCACATCCGATAGACCATTTTCTAGAGCTCGAACTAAATTCTCAAAGTAATTTCGAGTCACACTGTTGTCATGCAGTTCATATAAGGATAATTAGAGGATGTCAAGTCTCTGGAAAAAGTATAGGATAGGAAAAACACAATTAAAAGATAACCATCTCTTTCTGACACAATAGATTCTTTCCATCATAAACCAAGCTTTTAAACTGACAACCTTAATAAAACTTCAAGTTAAGATTATCAAATTCTACTTCATATTAAGTTTTATAAAGAATTTAGATTTAAATATATATTAAATGAAAATTACCTTGTCAATCCAGCAAGTTTTGTCCGAAACTCATTAAAATCTTTTGATGGGCCCTCTGCATTGAGGTAAACCTGTAGCTCCTTCTCTGCACATTGATGAAGTCGTTCTAACCCAGACTCGGCCTCACCTGCAAGACATACAGGGCATGAGTAGTGCAAAGTGAACAGGAATATGATGCCATAGCTTATAGACAGGGAGACATACCTTGCAAGTATTCAAAGAACTGTCTTTTAGCATGTTCATGTTCTGGTAAATAATATCCATAGGCATATGTCCATTTCAGAACTCTCCTACATTCTACTATCTACACAAGTAGAGCAGCAGCAATAAGCTAAAGCAGTATGTAGCTAGTGACCCAAACAAATTTTGGAATTTACCTGTAGCCATGCCTCAGTGATGAACTTCAGCTGCGACTCAGGTTGGCACTGTATGTCACTCAGCTTCTCAAGCTACAGTGACACAATCATTAGCACTCTCCATAAACTAAAATGAGAGATTAAATAGTCTGAAACATGATAAACACTATCAAATGGGAGGGAAAAAACTATTCATATTACTTCCTCTCTCTCTCTCTCTTCAACACTCCCTCTCTTCTTCCCTCTCTTCATTTTATTATAACTAATATCATTCTTATTTTTTATATTTGTGGCAGAGGAAATTGTAGATTTTGAGGAATTTGTCACCTTTAACCATGTATTAGTTCAACAATAACAGAAAGATTATCATTGAAGGACAAAAAACTGCCACACTTGTAGCAGGTCCAATCCATTCAGATAAATTAACTCAAGATATTACTTTAAAAACAGAATCACACAAGTAGGATTCCTCATTCACCGCCATTAGGTTTTTTTTTTTTTAATCTATATATCTTTTCTGGTATAATGCCATGGATGGTCTGCTATCAGCCCCCTAGGCAATAGAAAGTACATAGCTGCTATATTATGAGAAAAGTTCAGAAGAAACCTGTTAACTCAGATGAAAAGAATACGTAAATGCCATGAACCAGTACTAGTCGATTGTTCAAATGTTATTGATAGCCTTCAAACACTATCTTTATGACATCCACAATAAATGGTAGCAAAATAAATTGACAACACCAGCATCATTAAATAGGAAGTCAATAATGTTAAGTAGTTTGGCTTACATGCACAGTCTGCATTTGCTGTAGATCAGCCAGTGCCTTTTGCCTAGACTGCATGAAGTGAAGAAAAGTTTTAAGGAGTATTAACAAATGTTTTCTCATTTAAGTATATGATGGCTATTTCATCTATAAAGTATTCCCAGCACATAAATTTAAGCCTGTCAAAAGAAGACAACAATACATAGCATGCATTCAAGCTTACATATGGTTGTTTCTGAGTAAAGAGCAAAGTAATCAAGTACCAGCGAGTATTGATCAAAGCAGACCACAAGATACTTCAAACAAAATATAGCCAACTAAGTAATCAGTTCAAACAAAGCAAAGATGCCTGCATATGCACACTGACGCACATGATTTCCCAAGAAATGGAATTCTAGAAAAGCAGAATGATTATACATGATAAAAAGATGATACTTAACGAAAATTCCACACTCTCCCATCGCTGCATTAATCAGTTAAATCACTAAAAAACACACAACATTATACATAACTGAAAGTAAATTATCTCCTTCAAGCCGATTGTCATATTTTCTTCTGCCTCTGGATCACATATTTTATCTATTTAAGTTTCTATCTTAAGAAGATCATCTAAATTCCTTCCAGAAAGTGTCCTCACTTCAACAGAGGGAAGTCACATTTCTCTCTAGTCTCTCATTCTAGATTTATCAATATGCCTCTCAACACAAAGCACCCCCCTTGAGCACTTCAACTAAATCCTGATACATCCTAGTACTATCTTAAAATAATAGAGCAAAAACAACAGAATGTACAGTAGATTTATAATATGTGGTTTTAGAATGGAATATTCCTAGCCTTCACACATTCGGTACTAGCCAGGGGTAGCAAAGCTTAAACCTTTCATAACTTGGCTGAAGGGGAAAAAAAAAAAGCTTAACCAAACAACAAGCCTTTGGGGCTTCTTTAGGTACTTCATGATAATAAGGGAAGCGGGAAAAATAATTGCCAAGAAAGGTGCTTATGGTAGCTATAATCCAGTCCTTTGCATGGTTATTATAAACTTAAATATTGTCCATGTCATCCATTGACCATCTTGCACAAGAATAATACGTCTCACAGGGCCCTAAAAATGTTTTCAAAAGGCAGTTTTAAATTGTAATATAAGTGCATTTCGCAACTGTTTCTCTCCACCCCCCAGCTCTAAAAATTAATAAATAAATAAGTTGCATGTCTTGAAAATATTGACAGGCGACAATAAATATGCCTTTCATCCAACCTCGGTAGCATACTGTCTCATCTAAAGCCTAGCTATGTCCATCTCAAATCCATAAACTATAATCCATGATCTTCAGCTCACTGACCAACCTTTCACTTAAAATGCAGATTCAAGAGAACTAGGGTTAAAAAGGAGGAAAAGAGCAGAATGTAAATATCTATTATCCTAGCAATGCCAATCATAGCACTTACCAAATAAATCATTGATCAATAATGAAGAAATAAACTATAGATAGTCTATCTCACAGCTTAAAGGGAAAAAGAAAAGAAACTATAATGCTTACTTCACAATACAACCTAATCCCATGAACTTTATGGGGTACAAGAGAAGATAGAAGAATCTTTATTCTGCCAACCAGTTATTCAGAAAATCAATAACAGTGACAAGCATCATGTCAGTTTCACTACAAATCTCAAAAACTAATACATACTGATTGGTTGGTTGCCCATCGTTCGTAGTAATGAGTATATCTCTCTAGAGAGTTTTTAGCCATCTCTCTTCGTTTCTCAGCCTCATCATACTGTAAATAAATAGTATGGATCAGAAACACAAAGTGGGCAGTTAAATCATGATGCAAAATGACTTATGACAAGCACTGGGAAATGCTGAATGCCAAAAGTTTCATACCACACCCTCTTGCTTTGCTGTCTCGTAACGGTTGCAAGCATAAAATCCACCAGTTCTCTCACCATGCTCTGACCACGCACCAAGGCAAAGCCTGCATGAATCTCTGGTCAACTGACACAAATTTTTATAAAAACAAGAGAAAAATAAAACAGTGTGCATACAGAAGAGTAAAAAAATCAATTTGTTTTTGGCACAAAATCTTTTCAGTACAGCCTCCATTTAGGAAAAATATTCACTCTTATGGGTAGACAATATAGCAAACAAACAATAGCTTGAA